TCACTGCCTTTGTGTGCTAAATCTATATTTTTAGAGTAGGAATAAAACCAGTGCATTTTACACACATCAAAACACAATTTCGTTACGCCACTGCCTATTGTCCTTCTGTTCCTTCCAGTGAGGCTTCATCCACCTCGTTTCCTCAGTCTGAACCGGCTATATTAAATGACCTCATGCGGAATTATGACTTGTCACTTTTATTGGCTAACGAGTTTCATGCAGATACAACACCTACTTCTTTGCCACACTCGCAAGTTTCATTGCCTTGTATATCCACAACCCCAACACATCAGGTATCTCAAGATGCAGCCACTCCAGTCACAGCAACTGAGGTCACCTCAGAACTCCCTTCACCTTCACCGCCAGAAGTTTTACCAGAGACACCTCCAACCTCACCGACTTCTCCTGCATCCACAGTTCCATCTCCTGTCGGTGAAGCTCCAGCTGATCAAAGCTTGCCTACTCCAACAATGAACACTAGAGGACGAGCTGGTAAGGTATTTCCTCGAAAATTTACTGATGGGACGTTTTGCTATGATCCAACCAAGCGTGCGTTTTCAGTGATCACTCCCACTTCTTTTCGTGTCGCTTTGTCATCTCCTGATTGGCGAGCAGCCATGAAGGCTGAGTTTGCTGCTCTCCAATCCAACAAAACATGGACTCTAGTCCCACATCCCACAGGTGTCAATATTGTTGGCTGCAAATGGATCTTCAAAGTCAAACATCATCCTGATGTCTCCATTGATAAGTATAAAGCACGTTTGGTAGCTCATGGTTTTACTCAACAGTATGGGATAGACTACCAGGACACGTTTAGCCCGGTGGTCAAGCCAACCACCATACGCTTAGTCCTCTCTCTTGCAGTATCTCGTGGATGGCACATGCGTCAAATCGATGTCAACAATGCCTTCTTGCACGGTTTCTTAGACGAAAATGTTTATATGCAGCAGCCTCCTGGTTTTGAAGACACTAGTCATCCACAGTTTGTATGCAAGTTAAACAAAGCCCTTTATGGTCTCAAACAATCACCACGAGCCTGGTTCTCTCGTCTTAGTGAAAGATTACATCACCTTGGTTTCCGCTCTTCCAAAGCTGATACTTCCTTGTTCATCATGCAAACGCCCACTACTACCATCCACATGCTTGTTTATGTAGATGATATCGTTATTGTTGGGTCGTCTCCTACAGCTATTGATCACCTCATCCGCACATTGTCTTCTTCCTTTCCTATTAAAGACCTAGGTCGTCTAACTTATTTCTTGGGAATTGAAGTACTTCACAATTCAGGGGGAATAACTCTTGTGCAACACAAATACGCCTCTGATCTGCTTAAACGGGCTAATATGATGAATTGTAAAAGCATTTCAACTCCCATGTCAGTAACAGATAAGCTTGCTCAAAATCTTGGTAGACCCGTAAATATAGAAGTTTAGTGGGCGGTTTGCAATATCTTACGTTAACAAGGCCAGACATTTCCTTCCCCGTTAATAAAGTTTGTCAATATTTGTCTAAACCCACTACAGTACATCTGGAGGCTGTGAAGAGAATATTGCGAGACATTAAAGGTACATCAATTGTAGGACTACAATTTCAAAGATCATCATCAACTCTGCTCAGTGTGTTCACTGATGCAGATTGGGCAGGATGTATAGATTATAGAAGATCCATGGGAGGCTTTGCAATTTTTCTACGACCTAACTTGATTTCATGGAGTTCAAGGAAGCAGCCCACTGTATCACGTTCGAGTACGGAAGCTGAGTACAAAGCTTTAGCTAACGGCACTGCTGAGGATACATGGATACAATCATTGCTCAAGGAGTTGGGAGTTCATCAAAGAAGAGCACCTGTGCTTTGGTGTGATAATATAGGTGCCACATACTTGACAGCAAATCCGGTGTTTCATGCTAGAACTAAGCATATAGAAGCCGACTTCCATTTTGTAAGGGAAAAGGTAGTTATGGGAGCTCTAGATGTACGATTCATATCTTCAAACGATCAGCTGGCAGATGGTCTCACAAAGCCTACTACTCACAACATGCTAGACAAATTAAAACACAATCTAAACCTCAAATCGGTTGAGATTGAGGGGGGATGTTAAATGAGATAAGAAGATAACATAGTCAGTTAGATTTAGTATTCGTGATATACTTTGTATGTGATCAGATCCATGTATTTAGGATCTATTGTTGTAAAGTCATCTATATAATCAAACACTAACCTATTGGGTTATTCACGGCAAATACAAAGTTTTACTAATTGGCCTGACATGCAGATGTTGTGGCTGTCATGAACTCAACTTCACAAGTTGACAAAGCAACAGTCCTTTGCTTTTGAGATTTGCCATGTCACTACATTTCTTTCTAGGTAGAAAATCATCCCACTTGTACTTTTCCCACCAACCTTGTCACCACCATGATCACCATCACTAAACCCAACCAAGTCTTCAACTTCACGACCATTTCCATAGTTGAGCCCATAATCAATGATTCCTTTAACATATCGCAAAATATGTTTTGCCACTTGAAAATGCAAGGTGGTTGGTTGTTCCATGAAACGACTAGCAATACCAACCGCAAATGATAAATCTAGTCGAGTGTGTGTCAGGTACCTTAGACATCCCACTACTCGTCTATATTCGGTTGAGTCAACTTTTTCACCGTCTTCATATTTCTTAACCTTCTACCTAGGTTCCATGGGTGAAGTTGCCGGGTTGCATTCTAGTAATCCGAATTGCTCTAAAATCTTTTTTGCGTAAGCCGTTTGTCTTAAAGAAATTCCCCACTTCTTTTGTGACACTTCTATTCCAAGATAGTAAGAAAGTAAACCCAAGTTGCTCATTTCAAATTCTTTTTTCATTTGTTCCTTGAATTCCATGATGTCTTCATTATTTGATCCTGTAATGATCAAGTCGTCGATGTAGACACCAACTAAAAGAGTTTTTTCTTTTGGGTTCCTTTTGTACACCGTCGTGTCTTGTGAACATCTCAAAAAACCAATTCTTTTTAGGCTTTTATGCAATCGAGTGTTCCAAGCTCGAGGAGCTTGTTGTAAACCATAAAGTGCCTTGGAGAGTTTAAGCACCTTGTGACAATGTATTTTGTCGACGTATCCTTCCGGTTGACTTACCTAAACCTCCTCTTCAAGAACGCCATTAAGAAAATCCAATTTGACATCTAAATGGCGGATGGCCCACCCATGTCGAGCCGCTAAGGCAAGAATGAGCCTTATGGTGTCAATTCGTGCTACCGGTGCAAAATTTTCATCAAAATCGACTCCTTGTTTTTGTACATATCCTTTAGCGACAAGTCGAGCTTTATGTTTTATGACGTTTTCAAGATTGTCTTTTTTCACTTAAAAGACCCATTTCAATCCTATCGCTTTGTGACCCAGTGGCAAGTCGGTAAGTTTCCACATCTTGTTTTTCACAATTACATCCAAGTCTGTTCGCATGGCTTCCTGCCATGGTTTAGAGGTAACCGCCTCTTCAAAATTCAATGGTTGATCTGCTGCAATCATCAACAATTCTACGGGTTCTAGGATCACATTTTCAACATCATTATAGATATAGGTAAGCGAATGGAATCCTTTTGGCCCAACCTCACTTGAGGTGCTTTCCGTGTCGGTCAAGCTAGAAGAGAACGGGGCCGAAATATGAGTATATGGGGTTGTTTCGGGCTGGACAGTTTCAACATATGGGCTGCCCGGAATTTCCTAGTTGACTCTAGGGTTGTCCGGTTGCGCCGGGTTGACTTCGTGACTGTCTGTCTCGATTATTGTGAAGCTTTTTGGGTTTCAGCTTCATCCACCTTGTTTTTGTACCAATTCTACTTTCAACAAAAACAACATCGCAACTAACCCGCAGTTTTCGGCTCTCCGGATCAAATAATCGATACCCTTTAGTTCCATTTTCTACTCTAAGATACACCATCTTTTTGCTTCGGTCTTTAAGTTTCTTCAAATTTACGCCTACAACTTTGGTATAAGCAACACAACCAAAAATCTGCACATGTTCAAGGTTTGGTTTTTTTTCAAACCAAGCTTCATACGGCGTAATGTCGAGAAGCACTTTTGTAGGTAAACAATTGAGAAGATACACCGTATGTCTAACGGCTTCTCCCTAAAATTCTCATGGTACAGTTTTTCCTTTAAGTGGACCCCTTACCATATCCATAACAATACGATTTCGTCTTTCTACAACTCCATTTTGTTGAGGCGAATGCAGAGTCGTAAGGTGCCTTTTTACTCCATTTTCTTCACAAAATGATGAGAATTCTTTTGACGTAAACTCTCCCCCTAGATTTGTGCGTAGTGTCTTCAGTTCATAACCTGATCTTTTTTCGACCATCAACTTGAATCGTTTGAAAGCACCCAAAGCTTCAAACTTCCCATATAAGCTATAAACTCACATCCACTGACTATGTTCATCTACCAAAAAAAGAAAATATTTTCTTCCTCCAATAGAGGTGGGTGTAATCGGACCATATAAGTCCGCATGCACAAGTTTAAGTGGATTTTGAGCTCGAAAGAGCGTTTGGTTCGAGAAAGAGATTCGGGTTTGTTTTGCAAGAACACACCCTTCACACATTTGATTTGGATGTTCGATCCTTGGAACTCCGGTTGCCATTTTCCTTTCAAAAAACTTTTTTAAGGTGGGGAAATTAACATGACCAAGTTTAGAATGCCATAACCAAGCTGGTTTGTCCTTCGTGGTTAAAATGCATGTTGTTCTACCGGTTCGTAATGGAGTTATATATAACCAGTTCGATGATCTTTGAACTTTCAAAAGTAGAGTTTTACTTCTATTGTATAACCTCAAACAGACCCGTACATAGTGACCAAACTTCCTTTTTCCGTCATTTTTCCAAGACTGATGATGTTATTTTTAAGACTTGGAATGTAGTATACTTCATTCAAAAGTCTTTGGTCGCTATTTTTACAATAAAAAAGAGTTGATCCTTTTCCTAAAATAGCAACAGTGGAACCGTCGCCAAATCTCACGTGACCCGTAACACTTCCATCCAACTCATGGAAATTTGAGAGATCTCTTTTCATATGGTTGCTAGCACCGTTGTCGAGATACCACACCTTTGACTCAACTCGACTCTCCCCCGATGCAAGAAGATTAACACAAATTTTCTCTTCTAGAGACACCTTTCTGGGTACAGATTCTTGTGAGATATCCATCATCAAGATGGGTGCTTCTTCATTGGCTTGTGTGAGGTTCGCCTCCTCACCGTAGTTCTTTTCCGGGCACTTCGATGCATAATGACCACACTTCTCACATTTAAAACATTTTACTTTGCTTTTATCCTTCTTGTGGTCATTTCGTTTTTCATTGGATTCACGGCCACCTCCTCGGCCACGCCCTCATCCTCGACCTCTTCCTTGGCCTCGACCACCATGAATACCTCTATCCTTTGAGGTGCTTGACAAGCTCCCCTCGTTGGGTTTTCATGATGCCCACTCGTCATAAGTAAGCAACAAGGAAGGTTCGTCTCCTTGTTCTACATAACTCCGAAGCCTCTCCTCATGAGTTTTTAAACGACCCACAATCTCTTCCACAATCATGTTTTTTAAGTCTCCAAATTGTTCGACGTATGTCACAATTTACATAAATCATGATGGGATGGCTCGAAGAAATTTCTTCACCACCACGACTTCCTCAATTTTTTCGCCTAGAGATCGAATACCGGTCACAATGGTATTTAATCTCCTGAAAAAATCATCCACCGATTCACCATCCTTCATTCGGATAACCTTGAATCACTTCTCAAGGTTTGTACTTTAGCCTCTTTTACTCGATCGGCGCCCATGTGCATCACCTTAAGCGTTTCCCATGCTTCTTTAGTTGTGTTATTCTCAGCTAACATAAGTAGCACGTCTTCTGGAATTACTTGATAGATAGCATCTAGATCCATTCGATCTTTCTGTTCTTCTACATCTTTATCTTGAATTGCACCCCAAACTCCTTGCGCTTGCAAATTCACCCGCATCTTTATCAATCATTGGATAGTGTAACGTAACACTACCATTCTTCTCAGATTTTTGAACACCTTCAGCTTTATCTGCCATCAATAACCTTGGCATATACTTTGGCATACAGTCACCTTGCTCTGATACCACTTGTTGGGAAATAATGATCTAAATGTATGCAATATTGTAACGCCCGTAGATCCGGGCTAGTCAATTTAGAGATAATAGGGGTCAAAAACGACTTTTTGACAAAAGATTATTTAGAATAAATAATCTTAACCAAGTTGTAGAATACGTCTCAAGGGTTCCGTACATATGAAGCACGTTGAAATCCGAGTTATAACGAAGAAGTCATGGTCCGTCGAAGTTTTATGGCAAAACCGGCACGACACCGGGAGACGTAAATAGTGATTTTACGATGGAGGACTTTTTAGCCTTAGAAATCTAAACAAAAGTTGTATTATACGTTAAACCGAGAACATACAAAAAAAGAACGCCCAAATCTGACTTCGTATGAGGAAGTTATGAATTTTCTAAGATTTGGCTTAGCAATGCACAGCCCGAAACTCGAATTTTAGATCAAGCGGTTTTTGGCCTACGCGACCTAAATGATAATTGAAGATCTCATTATAAAAAGACAGACGAAAACAGAGTCCGTATGTAGAAGTTATGAATTTTACGCGGACATTTAACAGTATA